AAAGATGCTCTGCGAAGTGCAAAGAGCAAGAAGGAGCTCCGTCGCTTCTTCGCAGAACGAAAGAGGGAAATGGAGATTGCAGACCAACCGCAGGGACTTGCGGAGACCAAGGCCGCCAACCCAGATACAGGTGATGTGAGGTAACACAGGCGCTGTGCGTGCTTTTAGAGCCTAGAATATGGCGCTGGTGGTGCAGCCAATATCATCTAATGCTTAATGATCGATGTCGTGTCGGGTGACCAAATCCTCGATGATAAGTTACGTGTCGACTCTTTTATCTATGACCTAAGAGATGCGAGGGTACCAGCTGACAATGTATCTGACCACCTACCGTGTGCAGGTGAGTGTCGATTGTGTGTGATGCGTTGTCTATATTGGTCTTGGTGTGTGGGCTATGCGGTCCCAGTTGCCCCTGCCGTGCTTCTGACCACCATCGGGCTGGCCTGAGCTTCAGCCACTCAGCCCTGGCCGGCGAAGTCCCCGTGCTGCCGGCGGTCACGCTCATTTGCGGATCCTCCGCGCTGAAATTCGCGCGTGACGTCGATCGTCCATCTTTAACCCAGGCGCAGCCATCCGCAACCCAGCCGTGTTGCGAGCCATTTCATACACATGTCTCTGACCCGGAGCAGTTGAGAGCGTATGAGCAACGTCGGTGGCCACTCCGGCGGCAAGAAATGAAGTCCAACCAGGGGTTTGGGATCGCGGCCCTTGTCGCCCTCTCGATTCAAACAGTCTCAGGGGCATTAGTTGTGCAGGCGCCAGACCAGCAGCGCATTTTGCTGGACGAAGTCCACGGTGCTAAATCATCACATCACCTGCAGGGTCGATTCTTGCATATCACAGGTATGTAGCATCCCCGACTCGAGTCAAAGCGTTTCTCTGACCAGATTGTGCAATCAGATTTTCACCCTGATGCCTTCTACAAGCCGCATTCCTCTACTGGGGAGGGTTCAGCTTGTCATAGTGGTGATGGCAGTGCTGGCTATTATGGCGCCGAGACCTCAGACTGCGACAGCCCGATCGCGCTGGTGAATGCGACCTTCGACTGGATCGCAGAGAATATCAAGGACAAGATTGACTTCATAATCTGGACAGGCGACAGCGCACGACACGATAATGACGAGCGATACCCACGGACTACGAGTCAAATTCGGGAGCTCAACAGATTCATGGTCTCGAAGTTTGACGAGGTGTTTGGCCGGGAAAGAGACGATAAAGACCCCTTCGATGTCTTCACTGTGCCTATAGTGCCTACCTTTGGCAATAACGATATCCTCCCCCACAATATCTTCGACATAGGCCCTAATGACTGGACACGTGCCTACCTAGACATCTGGAGAGACTTCATCCCCGAGTCAGAACGTCACGAGTTTGACCAGAGCGGCTGGTTCACGGTGGACGTGATTCCGGGCTATCTTACTGCATTCAGTCTCAATACCCTATACTTCTTTGACAAGAATGCAGCCGTCGACGGCTGCTCAGTCAAAGGCGAACCCGGTTACCGACAGATGGAGTGGTTGCGTATACAGCTGCAATTCCTGAGAGAAAGAGGCATGAAGGCAATCCTCACCGGCCACGTGCCCCCGGCCAGGACAGATGGCAAGATGAACTGGGACGAGACATGTTGGCAGAAGTATGCCCTGTGGATGCGGCAGTACCGCGACGTTATCGTCGGCACACTTTATGGACATATGAATGTCGACCATTTCATACTACAGGATTTTGCAGACATCGACCCTAGTCTCGACAAGGGCTATGGTATCGAGAAGGCTAGGGCTAAGAGCAAGCAGAGCGGCATCAGCATCCGGAGTGCAGCAAGCTACGTATCTGAAATGAGGGCGACATGGGCTTTGCTACCGAAGAAGCCCAAAGGTATGAAAAGCTTTGCGGACGGAAAAGCCGAAAGCTCGACTATCGCAGGACTGTCGGATGATGCGCGACCAAATTGGGAGGTCGAGGCATGGACGAAGGGGAAGAAGAATAAAGGCAATAAACACAAGAACGCCGAGAAAGAGAGAGATTACCTTGACTCGATCGGCGGCAAGTATGCCGAGCGATTCGGACTGTCGTTTGTATCGCCCAGCGTCGTCCCGAATTACTATCCGACTCTACGCATATATGAGTACAACATTACTGGTGTTAACTACCGACCACCGACTGCGAGCGACAAGCGACCCAAGGTGGAGTACGAGGTAGGCATCGAGAAAAAGAAGAAGAAGAAAGATAAGAAGAAGCTACGCAAGAGGAGAAGGTTTACCGTCCCTCTTCCCCCGTCGAAATCTTCGCCTCCTGGACCTGCTTATTCGCCCCAATCGCTCTCTTTGCTGGGTTACCAGCAATACTTTGCGAATCTAACTCATATCAATCATGATTTTGACAACATGACAGTCAGCAATACTGACTTTGACGAATCTCATGATTTCAGCTTCGAAAATGAGTGGCAAGTGCAGGGAGGCAAGTGGAAGGACGGCAAGCACGGGAAGCACAACGGCAAGAAACCTAACAAAGGCAAAGGCCCGAATCCAAGGAATTTCACATACGAGATATTGTATGACACACGAGACGATAAGATCTACAAGCTCAAGGACCTGACGGTCAGAAGCTATGTTGAGCTCGCGTCGAGGATGTCTCGAGGGATGAAAGGCCAAACTTCAGCGAAAAAGGACGAAGACGTCGGGGCGAAGAAGGCAGACAAGAAGAAAAAGAAGAAGGGCAAGATGGGCAAGCACAAGAAAAAGGCCAACAAGATCTGGCATACTTTTCTGAAGCGAGCATTTGTGGCGACCAGGACGGACGAACAGATCCGCCAGGAATTTGGGAATTGATATTAATAGAAAATGCTGGTGGGCCTGGTTTGAGGGTATCACAGTACATTACACCGCACACAGTTATGATAGTCTTGTATTTATCGGTCTGCAGAATTGCTGAATCGATTTGTCTCATGAGATGCGTTGGGAACCGTGAGTTGAATGTCGTGACTGTGTGGTACATCAATCAGCACGCGATAAGGAAGTGCATTTTTCAACTGGCGACAACGCATAGCGCTGCATGAAAAGGCTGCGAAATCATGAGGCACGGGCACGCGGAAGCGAATGCTCACGTGCATGAGGGAATAAACAATGCCTCCCACGGCACTGTTCGGCCATCCCGGCTCTGTTCGCCGGTTGGCGGATGATCCCTTGCGTGCATGTCGGAGATGTGGAGGAGACACAAGCTGGGGAACCTCGGCATGTGAAAAGATGACGCCGGGGTTACGGGGGCACAGGAGGGGCATCACGTGGTTGAACGGAGACCCCAGAGCCAAGCAATCGGCCACCTTCACATGCCACCTGCAGGTAATTGATGCAGCCTGCGCGACGTCACCGTTGCAGGAGCCGCGACTTTTTTTTTTATCTTGACAGTCAGTACATGCCATTGATCGCAGGCAAGTAAGGTAAAAATGGTATGGATCGAGCAGTAAATACAAATGCACAGCAGTAAAGGCCCCTCCATCACCCTCATGCCTCCGCAATTCCCAGGCACGGGCGGAAGACTCATCAGCCATGTCTCCGCCTCGGCCATCTAATCCCCACGTTTTGCTCCAAGGGCGATCGAAACGTTGGCCGATTCCGCAAACCTCCGAGGTCCAGCCCATTTGACTCAGGTCTTCTGAAACAAATAAACCACCACCGACTGTTGTATAACTCGTGCCCGCTGCCGCCGTCTGACCCCGACTGTCCCTCTGCTCCTCGATTCCGCATTGTGCATTGAGCGTGTTGTGTGCAGCGCAGTCAGTTCCCGCAATCTTCATTCCCTCGGTTGCTTGTGCCCCGCGTCCCTCGCGCATACCGACGGCAGACCACCACTGCTGTCACATCCATACAGCTCACGCGACCGCATTGCACATTCTATCTTGCAGACTTGGTCTGACGAAGCAGCCATGTCCGCAAAAACCACAGCCGGCCCTGGCGGCAAGAAGCCTGCCTCGGCGGCCACGAACCTCATTGGTATGAGACTCGGGCGAATGGACAGCAATCGAACAAACGACTGACTTCAATCGCAGCTGGAGGAGGTGCAGGTATGATGGAGGCGCTCGTCTGCCATCCGCTCGACACAATCAAAGTCCGCATGCAGCTCTCGCGGCGAGCCACCGCACCTGGCGTACGTACAATCCGCGGTCCAGTTGCTACTCCCCAACTAATCCACCCCTTAGCAAAAACGGAGAGGGTTCATCCAGACCGGTGTGCAAATTGTCAAGCGCGAGACCCCCCTCGGTCTCTACAAAGGCCTCGGCGCCGTGCTTTCCGGCATAATACCAAAGATGGCGATCCGCTTCACCTCCTACGAATGGTACAAGCAGCTCCTCGCAAACCCGGACGGCACCGTCACCGGCCGCGCGACCTTCTTCGCCGGCCTCTCGGCGGGTGTAACCGAAGCCGTCGCTGTGGTCACCCCAATGGAAGTGATCAAGATCCGCCTGCAAGCGCAACACCACTCCATGGCCGACCCGCTGGACGTGCCGAAGTACCGCAACGCAGCCCACGCGTTGTACACCGTCATCAAGGAGGAGGGCTTCGGCGCGCTGTACCGCGGTGTGAGTCTCACCGCTCTCAGACAGGGGACGAACCAGGCTGTCAACTTCACCGCGTACTCGGAGTTCAAGACGATCCTGCAGAACCGCCAGTCTGATCCCACCGCGATGCTGCCGGGTTGGCAGACGGCAGGGATCGGGTTGGTCTCCGGTGCCATGGGACCGATGTGCAATGCGCCTATTGACACGATCAAGACGAGACTGCAGAAGACGCCGGCCCAGCCTGGCGAGACGGCGGTGGGCAGGATCGTGAATATCGGAAACCTCATGTGGCGCCAGGAGGGCGTCAGGGCTTTCTGGATGGGTATCACGCCTCGTGTCATGCGTGTTGCGCCTGGCCAGGCGGTCACGTTTGCGGTGTACGAGTACTTGAAGGGGATTTTGGAGAAGAGCCAGACTCAGATTCCGGGCGGGAAGTATGAGGAGTAAGGATTTTCTATACCTGGTTGGGGAAGAGAAGGAGAGAGGATCGAGCAATCGATGTCCCTAGTCATTGTTGATCAATGTTGGATGCACAAAAGCTTGGCTATGCTGTTGGATGTTGCATCGTCTGGTAATGGCGTCTGTATCATCGACGGCGTGGAGGAGATCCTTGAATATAAAGGACAAGAGCTCGGGAATAGAGCACATGGGAACACCGCGGTTCGTATATCTCGTTATTTTTCAGCTTGAGATACCACTGGAAAAAATCAAGTTATGTATTGCCTTCAGCTATTTTCGACATGTGACAGGAGTCCTCCAGTCTCAATATACATGTAGTCGATTCAGGCACACGGACAGGAACGATTACTTGATATCCTTCCTCGGAATCAGTTCCGCACCCTTCTGCATCTCCCTCTCCAACTTGTCGATAGCCATGCCCACATTCGCAAGCACGTTACCCAACTTGTCAATCAATCTTCCAGCCTCCTGCGGCGTCTCATCCCTCCTGATCTTTGCCCGGATCACATCCCACCTGTTCTTATCGTTCCTGACACATCGGTTGTACGAGTCCTCCAGCGCAGGAGCCAGTTTTTCGGCATTTGCATATGCCATGTGGAAACCAAAGTTCTTCTTGAGACTGTGCCTGCACGCGGTAAAATCGGCTACAGACTTGGCTTGGGCCGTGTTGGTCGAGTATTTCTGGAAGAGGTTCTCGAGGTCATCGAGCTGCTGCCACAGCGCAGTAGCAGCCGTGGCTTGGGACTGGGTGACAGCGCCGATATGAAGCTTGTCCATGATCACGAATTTTCGGGCTGGTCTTGAATATGAGAGATGAGAATTGTGTCGAGTCTTGGAGTATGAACAGGATGCTGGAAGCTGGATGCTGGTAGGAAAGAGGAGACTTACTTGCAGGCCATGGGAGCTCTTTATACCTGCGCCATCCCCCTGAATGGTGTATGAAGCTGATGATGTTCACGTACAGGGGAAAATCCACCATGGGGCCTGGATGCTCTACGCAGCCATTTGTGGCATCAGCACTGAGACACGGAGACCCCGAATCCCATCCTTGGAGATGATATAGGACGAATCGAGGTAGAACAGAGACCAGACGTCGGTCCAGAGCGACCTGATCCAGCACTCTGGAGGGGTAGCCACGCAGTGCGGAGGTCACATCAGCAAGCCACAAGGCAGGAGGTCAGCTGAGCGACGACGACGCGGTCTGTTCTGTCTCGAGCTGTAGGTAACAAGAATGAATACATGACTAGCTAGTCCATCATAGACAACCCGACCATTGCACATAGTGTGAGGGACTTTGCCTTTCTAGTGGGGATTAAATGGTCTGTACTGAAACCTGCATTAGCGATCTACTCACGGTCCATCAGTCTAGAGCGGGGTGGCCGATGGTGAGGGGTGTAGCATTCTCCGGTGACCTGGGCACGTATGGTCGGAGACGACTAAGGGACAAAGTTGTTCCTGTCCTTCATGGAAGCGGGAACAGCAGCCGGGAATGCTGCTTGAATAGAGGGAGGAAGGGTGGGCAAGTTGAGTAGTTTGGTAGAATTAGGTGTCGCCGGGTGCTGCCGCCCGGGCCCCGAGTAGGGTAGTCCAGAGGTGAAGCTGCGCAATATCATTTCGCCAAGGCTAAAGGCAATGCATGGCACTCTTTCTCTCCGTTCCCGCCAAAAACTCCATTTGAACCAGCCTTGATCTCCCAAGCATAAATCATGGCTTCACAACTTCTCCCCCTCGAGTTGATTGACAAGTGCGTTGGCTCAAGGATTTGGGTCATCATGAAGGGCGATAAAGGTACTGCGACTTGTGCGCACCAGTCAACATCAGCGGGACTAATCAATCCTTTTAGAATTCAGTGGCACCCTACTAGGCTTTGATGACTTTGTCAGTGAGTCAAAGATCTCACCAGCTGTGTGGAGCTGGACTGACTCGCTGCAGACATGGTGCTTGAGGACGTGACGGAATAGTATGAGCCTATGCATTGCCACCAATGTCAATACATGCTGACATTGTGACTTAGCGACTATAGCGGATCCCAAAACAAAATGTCCAAGATCTTACTGAACGGCAACAACGTCTGCATGGTAAGTCTGGCTCATTAATATTTACTGTACATGTGTTGCTTACGCATTGTAGTTAATACCTGGTGGGATGCCGGAATCAAACGAATGAGAAACGGATCTGCTATGAGCGACACAAAAATCACGGCAATTGCGCTAGTCAACATTGCAGCAAACAGAGATTGCAATCAGGGGAGTCTAGTTTATACAGTGGCCTGTGGACTGGATCCGGATCGCTTTGCTAGCCATGAAATCGAAGTCTCCGCGCAGAAATGCCTCTCCAAAGCGGCGTGAGGACAGGATAGACATAGCCTACTCCAACTGATACCCACTGATTCGGAATATCTCGATATCTACGCGTCCTGTGATCTCCACTACTGCTTCTTCTTACTCTCCTTGCCCTTCCTCGTCTTCTTCTCCTCCTGATCCTGCTTCTCAATCTCCTCGATTTCAGCAGCCTCCTTCTTCTGCGCATACCACTGCCCAGCCTGAAGAATCAGCACGCCGACAAGAACCAATGCTAGAATAGTATCGCTAGCGGCCAGAACCTTGAGGCTGTCCTCGCGGCCAATGACATCGCCCTCGCTGTATTGAGCCATTGTCTCGCCGTATTTTCCCTCGGTGACAATGCGCAAGCCCTTAACAATGTTTGTGATGTAAACAATGACGCCGATCATGTAGAGCACCAAGCTGGCGCCGTCGAAGAGCATATTGGACTCGGACATCTTGTACAGCTTGAGCATAAAGCCCAGAAGACCGGTGCCCATGACGATGTGCAGGATGCGGGAGATGAGCGGCGGAGAGGCGTGGATGAACTTGAGATGCGTCTCCAGTATCTGGTAGTAGGGCTCGCGCGGGTCTATGAGACCCTCGACGGCAGGTGGGGTAGTCCAGATGACGTTGTAGTCATAAGGGAAATTGCCGAACAGAATGCCTAGGAAGAAGCATGTCGCTATGAAAAACGCGATCAGTTAAGACTCTGACATCGCGCGCGACTCGAGGTCGCGGTGCAGATCATGCACATGGGAAGACTCACGGCCGACGATAAGGAAGGTCGCGAAGGGCGCTGCTGAGATCGCCATGTTCAAAGGGGCGCGCGATCGGGTGTATTTTGCGCTAGAATGAGACTGATTGCGAAAGCGCGATATCGAGCTCGAAAAATTGTCCAGTCGAGACCTCGAAGGTGGTGACAAAGGACACAGTGCGGGCGGAAGGTGGTGGAAGTGGTTCAGCTCCACAGGGCCTTCCACGAACCAATTGAGACGTTGAAATTGGGTTCGGATTTGGCCCCGCGGGCTCAACCTCTAGGCGACCGTTCGTGTTTGCGGCTCAAAGCGGCACTATGAAAGATACCAGGCTGCCTATGATGCCCCCAACATCAATCTCGCACAATTGTTGATACCAACTTCTGACATGGAACAATTATTTCACAACATTGACTTATGTATCAGTTGCTTTTATTCTGCTCTGCTTTCATGCAGAGAGTTGTAAGGCTATTGATCGATCATGGACGGCCGCCCAATCCCCTCGCATGGGTCCATGACTGTCTCATCCTCGGGAGCTGCCACAGTCGTGCATCCAAATCAATTGTTAGCTATATGGTTCTAGGCGGGCAATCATGGATCACATGTGCTGGGCCGTCATTCGTTGTCAGGTCCCTGATCATCCCCATCTTCGTCATCACTTCCCCCATCGCTGCCATCTTCTTCGTCGTCGTCGTCGTCGTCGTCGTCGTCGTCGCTCAATTCATCCTCGCCTTCCACTGGTTCCAGACCATAGTCGTCCTCGAAGTGTGACAGTGGAAGCACTTGAGGCTTATAGCCAGCTTGCGTGAACTTGGACACTAGGTTCTGTCGATCGCAATGTCAGCGTACGCCACGATACCTATCAAAGACTAAACAGGACTCACTTCTTCCATGATCTTGGCGCATGTGATGAACAAATTCGATTGAGCCGGGTCGAATACTTTTGTGAAGTACTTGTTCAACATCTCTTTGACCTGGTCCGCACTCACGTCTCTGACTTTCTTGAGCATCTCATCGTTCCAATCCTTACCTATCCCACGAACGACCTGATTGCTGAAGCTCACAGAGGCGGCTGAGGCTGCCGTAGGCTGCTCATCTGCGTAGCCTTGGACGATTGTGGAAATAGCACCTTCCAATGCCAGCTTGTCTAGAGGAATCTTGCCAGAGGCGAGGCCTTCGATCTGATCTTTGCTGGCTAGGTAGGCGCCGAAGCACTCGGGCGAACGGTAAAAGGTCAAGGTCAACATCCCGCTTGCAATTGATCTACGGAAACCAGCTCCGTAGGCGAGTCCTGACCCTCGAACCGCCACCCAGAGTGGACCCTCAACGGCATCCAGATAGGCCTCGGCAACCAAGACAGCGGGAAGGTCTGGATGATCGTACGAATCTGGTCCTCTTATGGAGAATCTCCCATAAGCAGAGTCCACGGCGGGCAAAGGAACGATCAAAGCATTGCTGCCTGGGTTCCTGCCTGATTCAGTCAGCATGGTCTTGACATCGTCCAGAGGCCTGAGAGGCCTCGTCGCGTCAAGATCTGCGAGGAAAGAATTCCAGGTCGATACTGGCGACTCAAGCTTCTCCAAGTCCGCAGCAACGTATATCCGGTAGTTGTCTGTCTGGTGCATGGTGTCTACAATTTCTTGTAGTCTGCTGATCACAAAGTTCGGATCTTTCCGCATAGCAGCCTTCATACGTCTGAGATACTTCGATTTGACCAGGGTATCGCATGCTTTGATGCTAGATTCCCTTGTGAACTCAACCACGTTCTGAACGGATGAGCTCATAGATGAGCCGTCTCGTTTCTCGTCCGGTATGTCGGCAAGTATCTTGGTCAAAGAAGCTTGAAGTCTCTCTTCGTCGAAAACAAAGTCGTATAGCATCGTTTTGATCCAAGCCACCGCAGTAGCGTACTTGTCTGGCTCAACCTCAAAGTGGACCTGAAGGAGCTCGGTGTTGGATGGGCCAGATCTTAAGCCGAAACCGACGGTATCCCTCTCCAAGTCCATGACGACCTGCTCGAATCCAATCGTTTTGCCATCGCGCTTGATGGGAGTGGCGAAGAAGTTCATCATGTAGAGCGGCAGTAGAGGCTTCAGATGAGTTGGAACGGCTCCGGTGCCCATGCACAATTTGATTCGTACAAATTGAGAGGGGATATGTTCGAAATGCATGAATAAAGGCAGATCAGAGTCATCAGTATCGATTCTCTTTTGGATGTCGTTCTCGAGTCTGCCCATCTTCTTTGCAAGGCCTGCTCTTGCCGAGGTGGTATGGATGAAATGGATGGATGAGGTGTCAGGAACTTTGAACTGTGCAAGAACCGAGTCAGGAATAGGACGATCATTCTCCGCCTTCGCATCCTCGAGCTTCTGTGCGAGGCGCTGAAGGCCCTCTTCGCCCAACTTCTTTTGCTGCGCTTCGACCCTGGCTGTCTCTTCCGCCTTGACCTTGTCTGAGAGCTTCTTCGACGGAACTCCGAGAATAGAGACATGGTTGGCTTCTGAGATCCATTTCCGCAAGAAGTCACGCCATTGAGTGTCAGTCCAACGCTCCAGAACGTCCATCTCGTTGAAGTTTTCGAGGTGACGCAGGTCGGTTCCATCGCGATTGCCAAAAATATGGTCTTCGATTAGATCAGTCGACAAAGTATCGGCATGTGTCTCGCATCTGTAAATCTGCTGACGTTTGCTTCTCTTCATGCAGTCATGCAAGTACGACATGTCCAGTTCTTTGGAAGCCGTTTCCCTAAGGACTTGGAAAAATCGCTTCTCTACTTCCTCAAGCTTCGAAGTCCTTACTGCAGCAAGATTGCAGGTGATGGAGAGGTCGGTTTTGGTATAGACTGCATAGTAAACAGCACTACAGAGCTGTTCTCGCTCGACCAGCGTGTTCTCAAGGACCGATGCAGACGACTCGGTAAGGTACATGAGCAGGATTCGTATGGCTGCATTTTGCAGAATGTCGTTGCAATCAGGGCCGAGAAAGTCTATCTGTATTTCTCCTGTGGATTCGTCCTCCTCGGGAAACTCGACTCGCTTGATGA